TTGTTTAAAATGCAGATCCCTGGACCCTCCCCCAACCTAGAGAGTCAGAACATCTGGGCTCCTGCATCTTAACAAGCTCCCTGGGTGATGCTGCTGGGCCTCCAAGTTGGAGAACCTCTGTATTTGAAGAAATTAGGACTCCTTGGGGACTCAAATCTTATTTCAGCTCTTCTCTGGACCAGTTTGACTTTAGCCTAGATGTAAAATGGGTATAAATTTTACATGCCTGTGATGCCAGGATGCACTCACAGGGGAGGGAGGGCTTTAGCAGAGGTCAGAATCTAAGCCACCACTACAGTTGTACCAGATCCATGGAGAAAGACACCCAGGCCTCATTTCCTCATTGTTCTCTCTTCCCTTACCTGGCTTTATGGTTCTTCATAGCGCTGAGCACCACCGGGCAGTGTATTTTATGTTTTTTTGAGTTTCATAAGGCCAAGGACTATGTTTTGTTTATAACTGTTCCCCCATTTCCTAGAACAGTGCCTGGTACACAGGGGTGCTCAATAAATGTTTGTGGAATGATTGAATAAAAGTTGTTCCTGTACAGATTCCACCTGCCTAGAGCAAAGCCAGGACACTGATTGGGATGAACACATAGCACGTGCCAGACATGGCTCTGAGTGCTTTACCTGCATCATCTCACTTCATATGTGACAGCCAAATGGCCCCCAGTGGCCTTCACCAGTTGGTATTCACACCTTTGAGCAGTTTCGTCCTATCCTGAGCTGGGCTGACCAGTGTAATTAATAGGATATTGTGAAATGAGAAAGTATGACGTTTAAGATTAGGTCATAAAATACATTATGGTTTCTGCTTTGCTTTTCTGGATCATCTGCTCTGGGGAGAGCCAGCTGCCATGTTGTGAGGACACTCAATTACCCCTGTGGAAACGTACACGTGGTGAGGAACGTAGGCATTCTGCAAATAACCAGCACCACCCAGGCACATGAGAGAGCTTTCTTGAGTCGATCCTCCAGCCCCAGTCAAGCCTTCAGATGACTGCAGCCCCAGCTAACATCTTAACTACAACTTCACGAGAGACCCTGAGTCAGAACCATCTATGTAGCTGCTCCCCAGCTCCTACCCCATAGAAACTGTGTAACAGCATACATGTTTATTGCTGTTTTAAGCTGTTAATTTTGGGAAATTTGCTATGTATCAATAATTAATAACTTGTACAGATTCTCACAACAGCCTATGTGGGAGAAGCCATTATAATCACCATTGTACAGAGAAAGAAACTGAGGCCCAGATGGGGGAATCTTTGTCCAGGGTCACAGAGATAGTGAACTGTAGCACTGAGATTGGAACCCAAGTTTGAATGACTAGAGTCTACCCACTGAGGTGAAGGGTGTTCAACTTGAATGCCAGCTCTTCCCCTGAAGGGCCAAGGCTGAGACCAGAAAACCTGAAACAATATAGCTGCCCCCAATATAAATATGTGTAGGTCACTCAGGGCTGATGGTACATGACCATAATAAATCAGCAGGGTCATTAGGAGAAAACAAGACAATAGGAGTGAAAACGGACAGAAACAGATATGCCCAGAGTTTGCATATCAGTATTATCAGATGCAGATTACAAAACAAATTGTTGGCCAGGTGTGGTGGCTCATGCCTGTAATCCCAGCCCTTTGCGGGGCTGAGGCACATGGATCACCTGAGGTCGGGAGTTCAAGACCAGCCTGGCCAACATGGTGAAACACAGTCTCTACCAAAAATACAAAAAATTAGCCAGGAGTGGTGGCAGATGCCTGTAATCCCAGCTACTCAGGAGGCTGAGGCAGGAGAATCAGGAGGCGGAGGTTGCAGTGAGCCAAGATCGTGCCATTTGCACTTCAGCCTGGGCAACAAGAGTGAAACTCCATCACACACACACATACACAAAAATTAAATTTAAAAGATGGGCCAAACAGCAAATTAGACATGGCTAAAGAGGAAATTAATGAGACAGAAATCAGACACCAATCACAGATTCAAGAAACTCCATAAATTTCACACATAGACACATCATAGTAAAAATGCAAAAAAACCCCCAAATATTAAAAAAAAAAATTCTTAAAAGCACTCAGAGGAAAAGATTCAGAGATTCTAAGAACAAAAAACAAAACAAACAAACAAAATCCCAAAACAACAAAAAACAAAAAATACCCAGTACTACCACATAGATAAACCTCAAAAACCTTATGTCAAGAAAAACCCCAATGTTATGCCAAGTGAAAGAAGCCAGTCACAAAGATTCACATATTGTCAAAGCCTAATTTTCTTTTTGGTCTCACTCTGTCACCCAGGCTGCAGTGCAGTGGGGCAATCACTGCTCTACAGGTGCACACCATCACACTCGGCTAATTTTTATATTTTTTGTAGAGATGGAGTTTCACCATGTTGCCCAGGCTGGTCTTGAATTCCTGGGCTCAAGTGATCCACCCGGCTTGGCCTCCCCAAGTGCTGGGATTACTGGCACGAGCCACTGTGGCCCATCAGTAAGATCTAATTTCTATAAAATATCAGGAAGAGGAAAGTCTACAGAGACATAAAGTATATTAGTGCTGTCAGTTGGAGGATGGGGAAGAGGGAATGCCTGCTAATGAGTACAGGTCTATTTTGGGGTGATAAAAATTTTCTTTCTTTCTCTCTCTTTCTTTCCCTTCCTTCCTTCCTTCCTTCCTTCCTTCCTTCCTTCCTTCCTTCCTTCCTTCCTTCCTTTCTTTTCTTATGGAATCTCGCTTTATCACGCAGGCTGGAGTACAATGGTGTGATCTCAGCTCACTGCAATCTCCGCCTCCCGGGTTCAAGCAATTCTCATGCCTCAGGCTCCGCAGTAGCTAGGATTACAGATGCCCACCACCACACCTGGCTAATTTTTGCATTTTTAGTAGAGACAGGGTTTCACCATGTTGGCCAGGCTGGTCTCGAACTCCTAACCTCAAGTGATCCGCCCGCCTCAGCCTCCCAAAGTGCTGGGATTGCAGGTGTGAGCCACCATGCCCAGCCAAAAATGTTCTAAAATTTGATTGTGGTGATGGGTGCACAATTCTGTAAATGTTACTAAAAACTATTACATTGTGTATTTTAAGTGGGTGGATTTTATGGCATATAAATTATATCTCAATAAAGTTGTTTATAAAAAGAACAGCAGTTAGATTGACAGGTGATGATGTCTCAACAGCAACCATTTCCCAGTATTTTGGGAGGCCGAGGTGGGCAGATCTCTTGAGCCCACGAGTTCAAGACCAGCCTGGGGAACATGACCAAACCCTGTCTCTACAAAACTTAGCCAAGTGTGGTGGCACGTGGCCGTGGTTGCAGCTACTCGGGAAGCTGAGCCCAGGAGTTGGAGACTGTAGTGAGCCATGATTACACCACTGCACTCCAGCCTGAGCAACACGAGTGAAACTCCATCTCAAAAAAAAAAAAAAAAAAAGCTTGCCCCAGGCCATTCAAATGTACAGCCAAGGTTGAAAAACATTGTCTTAAGAGATGCGTTTCAGGCAAAAGAAAAATTATCACACATGGGCCGGGCTCGGTGGCTCATGCCTGTAATCCTAGCACTTTGGGAGGCCGAGCCAGGAGGATCATGAGGTCAGGAGATCGAGACCATCCTGGCTAACACGATGAAATCCCGTCTCTACTAAAAATACAAAAAATCAGCCAGGCCTGGTGGCGGGCGCCCGTAGTCCCAGCTACTCGGGAGGCTGAGGCAGGAGAATGGCATGAACTCGGGAGGCGCAGCTTGCAGTGAGCCGAGATCGCGCCACTGCACTCTGGCCTGGGCGACAGAGCGAGACTCTTGTCTCAAAAAAAAAAAAAAAAAAAAAAAAAAAAAAAAAAAAAAAAAAAAAAAATTATCCCAGATGAAGATCAGGTTCATTCCTTCATTCAACATATGGAGCCTCCGTTACGTGTTTGGAACTGTGCTAGACACCAGGAACACAGCAGTGAGCAAAACAAATCAAAAAGTCCCTGCCCTCGAGGAGAGGAAAACAGACCTAGAAAAACATAAATAAGTAAAATATGCTCCGTTAGACAGTAATAGATGCTGAGAAGAAAAAAAAATGAAGCCAGGAAGGCGGATGTGAAATGCTGGATACATGCGTGTCTGTGAAATTTCAGATGGAGTAGCTAGGGAAGATTTTTGGGTAAAGACCAAAATAAAGGGAAGGAGCGAGCCATGCAGACGTTTGGGTTACGGCAGGTGCAAAGGCCCTAAGGCAGGAGTGTGTCTGACTTACTCCAGGACCCAGCAGGTCAATGGGACTTGAGTGGAGTGAGGCAAGGGCAGGGTAGTCAGCTACGAAGACAGAGATCTGGAGGCAGTTTGCAAGCCCTGGGGAAGATCTCGGCTGTTACTTTAAGCGAGATGGGAGTACTTGAGTCGGGGAGTGGCCTGAGTTTGATTTACATTTTAACAGGACTCTCAGGCAGCTGGGTGGAAATGGACAGAAGAGGGCAAAAAGAGAAGCAAGGAGGCCCAGGAGGAGGCTGATTCAGGACCCCTGAGACGATGGAGCACTGATGGAGCTGGAGCGGGATGGGGCCGGAGGAGGTGAGGGATGAGAGTCTGCAAGTGGAGCCCACAGGATCTGCTGATCGATGGGACGAGGAGCGGGAGAAAAATTAAAGCAGGCGAATGCAAACTTCACCAATAGCTCAACGAAAAGACAGAGGGTGACCGCTGAGAGGTAGCGTCGGACCTGGGTAAGGGCGGGTTCCTGAGCCTGCCAGGCCTGGATTCAAACCTCGGCTGAGCGGCCTTGGACAGGTCATCAACAAACAGAGCCTTCGTTTATTCATTTGCAAACGGAGCCAAGGACCGGGCCTGCCCCGGGGTATGCCTGAGGCTTGGGTGAGCAGGCGCCGGGCTCGCAGGGGGCGCTCCTAACCCGTCCCCGGCAGCTCGACGCTGTGGATCTAGCCGCCTTCCAGCCCCGGCTCCAGCTCCTGCTCAGGTTCCTGCTACTGCCCCCGGCCCCGGGCCCCGCGCCCCGCCCACCCCGCCTCTCGGTCCTGCCCCCTCCCGCTGCTCCGCGGCGTAGCCCGCACGGTGAGCCCGGCCGGGGTCCGGGGGTCCGCGGTCAGCCCCGGAGGACAGGGTGGGGTCGCCCCAAACAGGAGCGCCGGGAGCGCTGGAACCCCGCGCTCGGCGGCCGCCGCCGCCGGGTGGCCGGGCATTGGAGGTCCCGGATGAGGCGACAATTTTTCCGGCCCCCCTCCCAGTCCCGCCCCACTTCCGGGGCCGCCACTTTCACTTTCTCTTCCGCCGAAGCCGCTCGGCTTGCGAAGAACTGGGGCCTCCTGGGAGGAGAGAGGGCTTTGCGTTGAAACCCAGGACGCCAGGAGTGCTCCCGCAAGTGGGGGTCCTCCGGGACTTGGAACGCCCCGGCTGGGCGGTGTCCGGGCGTCCTTTCCCCGCTTCTCCCCACCTCGGCTGGTCCCGTTTCCTCTTGCGCCCAGTGCGGACTTGTCTCGACGCCCGCTGCCCTCTCACCGCCCCACTCGGGATTCCGGCCTGGTCACCAGGCAGTGTGATGCTTCCCGATTGCCGCGGGGACAGCGAGGCACAGACAGAACTTGGGCCGCGCCGGAGGCCACACGGCCTGGCTGAGTTGCTCCTGGTCTCCCGCCTCCCCCAGGCGACCCGGAGGTAGCATTTCCCAGGAGGCACGGTCCCCCGCAGGGGGATGGGCGCAGCCACGCCAGATGGACGAGAAGACCAAGAAAGGTGGGCAGAGGCTGGAGGTGGCTGGGGAACTTCCGGTGGGAAGTGGGCCCCGCAGGACCTGGCCTTGCCTGCCTGGAAGGACCTTGGAGAGGGGGCTTTAGCCTGCCCTCCCTCTGCCCCCCTCCCCATCAGTTTCCTCCTTTAGTACCTGCTGGCTTCCAGAGCCATCTTGGGGCCCTGAGAACTCCTTGGGCCGGCTCTGTGCTGAGATGGGGCTTGGGGACTCGCAGAGGACACAGGGCATTGAACTTGGAGACCTCCTGGGCTGGTGGGATACAGACCTCAGTTGACCTGAGTAGCAGGGGTCCTTGCTTTTTCTCTTGCCCCCTGCACCTAGGGTTGTAGAACAGAAGTCAGTCACTGCCTTGCTGGAAACCTTCCCGTGCCCCTCTGTGTTCTACAGACAAAACCCAGAGCCCCTGGGTGGCCCACAGGACATCTCTCCTCAGTCACCCCTCCATGCTCACGCTACTGGAGCCCCACTGGCTTCTTTCGGTTCTCATCCAACCATTTCTTGGCCAAGGCCCTTACTCTTCCTTCCACCTGGACCACTCTTCCCCACTGGGGCTTGACACGTGCAGCTTCTCCTCCTTCAGGTCTCACCTTCAGTGTCACTCCCTCCCAGAAGCCTCCCCTGGTCTCCTTAACCTGTTTATTTTCCTGCCAGCAAGGATCACAATCTGACTTTTTTTTTTTTCTTGTTAAACTTGTTCATTGTCTCCCCACTGGGCAGGGAGATCCATAAGGAGAGGGACCCTGTTTATAAATCTCTGTGGGATTCCAGTTCCTGGGACAGTGGGTGGCACACAGTAGGAGCTCAATAATGCTTATTGGATAAATGAATAGAAGTATGAGGGACCCTGGGAATATGAAGGACAAACAGAACCAAATGAGCCTAGAGTGAGGAGGAGTGGGGAATATCAAAGAACCCCTCCCAGAGAAAGGGACTTTTAGTCTGGGTGCTGAAGGATATGTAGGAGTTCACCAGGAAGACAGAGAAAGCAGCACACACAAAGGATCATCTCCTTTCCTACCCCATTACGCCCACCTCCTGAAAATAAAACCCTGTGCTAACTGGCTCCTGCTGTGGCTTTCAGCAGAGGAAATGGCCCTGAGCCTCACCCGAGCAGTGGCGGGCGGGGATGAACAGGTGGCAATGAAGTGTGCCATCTGGCTGGCAGAGCAACGGGTGCCCCTGAGTGTGCAACTGAAGCCTGAGGTCTCCCCAACGCAGGACATCAGGTGAGGAGTGCATGGTTGGCCTGAACCCTAGGGACAGCAGGACAGGACATTCTTGCCTGTAAAACAGTTCTTCCTAATGGCAGGTTCTGGCTTCAGGAGGCCTGGCTTCTAACCCTAGTTATGTCATTAATCAACTGTGAAATATAGGGCAGGTCACTTCACCTCTCAGTGTGTCCTCATGTTAAAAATCAGACCATAACATAGGGTTGTTAGGAGGTGTACTGTATTAGGATGACCGTAACAGTAGCTATCTCATAGGGTTGTTAGGAGGTGTACTGTATGTTAGTCCTTACACAACAGAAGAAAACAGAACAGTGATGTAAACAAATTTATGGCAGGGAGTCCAGATAGGGGGGTTCTGCTCCCCACAGTCCTCAGAGGCTCGTGTTGCTTCTCTCACTGTTCTGCCCTTCATTCCCAGATTCCTCATGGTGCAAAATGGCCATTCCAACTCCATCCAGCCATCACATCACAGGAGGAAGGGAAGAAAGGCACCCCTCCACATTCCTCTAAAGAACATAGCTCAAAAGTTGTACACACTTCTTCCATTAATTCCTATGGACCAGAACTGATTTGTACAGCTACAGTTCAACTTGAGGGAAGACTGTATAGTCAGGATATTCAACTAGAATTCAGGGGTTTGCTTGGTAAGGGAAGGGAAGAGAATGGATACTGTCAGTCTCTGCTCCAGGAGACTTAAACTCAATGCTGAAACACTTTGCACAGTGCCTGGCGTGTGTTTTGCACTCAATAAACATTAGTGTCTATGGTTCTTTTTTGACTGCTTTTTCATTACTGGATAGTAAGGCAATAGTTTTATGGTTTCTGATTTTCAGTTTTCATGGTAGGTCCCATTTGATTTTTCTTGAAACAGTTTTATTTATTTATTCATATAGTTCAACCATTTAAAGTATACAGTTCAATGGCTTTTAGTATATTCAAGTTTGTGCAACCATTACCACAATCAATTTTAGAACATTTTCATCATCCTGGAAAGAAATCTGGTACTCATTAGTCAGTCTCCATCTCTCTACCTTTTCCCTAACTCCCCAACCTTAGGCAACCACTAATCTACTTTTTATCTCCAGGGATCTCCCTTCTCTGGAAATTTCATATAAGTTGAATCATACAACATGTGGCCTTTTGTGTCTGGCTTCTTTCACTTAGGATCATGTTTTCTAGATTCATCCATGTTGTAGCATGTATAACAACTTCATTCCCCTTTTTTTGACATGAGGTCTCACTCTGTTGTCCAAGTTGAAGTGCAGTGGTGCCATCATCTCTCACTACAGCCTCAACTTCCTGGGTTCAAGCAGTCCTCCTGTCTTGGCCTCCCAGGTAGCTGGGACTACTGGCGTGTACCATCACACCCAGCTAATTTTTTAAGAATTTGTAGAGATAAGGTCTTGCTGTGTTGCCTAGGCTGGTCTTGAACTTCTGGCCCAAGCAGTCTTCCCACCTCAGCCTCTCAAAGTGCTAGGATTACAGGTGTGAGCCACCATGCCCAGCCAGAACCTTATTCCTTTTTATTGCCAAATAATAATCTATTGTATGGACATACCTCATTATCATTACTGATTAAATCAGTTGATGGACATTTGGGTGTTTCTATTTTTTGGCTATTATAAACAATGCTGCCATGAACATTTGTGTCCAACTTTTTGTGTGGACATGTTTTCATTTCTCTTGGGTACATACTAGGAGTGGAATTGCTGGGTCATACAGTAACTCTATGTTTAACCTTTTAAAGAAATGCCACACAGTTTTCCAAAGTGGCTACACCGTTTTTACATTCCCACCAGCATATATGAGGGTTCTAGTTTCTCCACATCCTCTCTAACACTTATTTATCTATTTTATTATAGTCATCCTAGTAAATTTGAAGAGGTATCTCATTGTGGTTTTGATTTGCAATTTCCTAACCATTTGATGACAAATGATGTTGAGCATCTTCATGTGCTTATTTGCCATTTGCATATTTTCTTTGGAGGTTTGCCTATTCAGGTCTTTTGCCCATTTTAAAATTGGGTTTATCTTTTTTTTTTTTTTTTTTGAGATGGAGTCTCACTGTATTGCCCAGGCAGGAGTGCAATGGTGTGATATCAGCTCACTGAACCTCCGCCTCCCAGGTTCAAATGATTCTCCTGCCCCAGCCTCCTGAGTAGCTGGACTACAGGTGCCCACCACCACACCAGCTACTTTTTGTATTTTTAGTAGAGATGGAGTCTCACTGTGTTGGCCAGGCTGGTCTTGAACTCCTGAAGCCTCAGGTGATCCACCCACCTTGGCCTCCCAAAGTGCTGGGATTACAGGCATGAGCCACCACACCCAACTGGGTTTATGTTTTTATTATTGAGTTGTAGGAATACTTTATTCATCTGAGATAGAAGTGCCTTATCAGCTGCATGATTTGCAAAAATTCTCTCTCATTCTGTGGGTTGTCTTCTCACTTTGTTGATGGTGTCCTTTGAAGCACAAAAGTTTTAAATTTAGATGATGTCCAGGTCGTCTATGTTTTATTTTGTTGTTTGTGCTTTTGGTGTCATATCTAAGAAATCATTGCCTCATCCAAGATAATGAAGATTTACCTCTATATTTTCTCCTAAATATTTTATGGTTTCAGCTCTTACATTTAGGTCTTTGGTCCATTTTGATTTAATTTTTATATATGGTGTGAGGTAAGGGTCCAACTTCATTTTTTTGCATGTGGATATTGAGTTGTGCCGGCACTATTTGTTAAAAAGACTATTTTCCCGTGTTTAATCATCTTAACCCTTTTTGAAAATTAATTGACCATAAATATGAGTGCTTATTTCTGGACTCTCATTTCTATACCATTGAACTATAATATACATCTGCCCTTATGCCAGTACCACACTGTTCTGATTACTGTAACTTCATAGTATTTGAAATTAGGAAATGGAAGTTCTCCAGCTTTTGTTCTTTTTCAATATTATTTTGGTTATTGCAAGTCTCGAATTTCCATATAAATTTTAGGATCAGCTTGTCTGGTTCTGCAAAAAAGAAAAAAAAAAAAAAACAAATGGGATTTTGGTAGGGATTTCATTGAATCTGTAGATCATTGGCCACTTGATTTTAAACAAAATATTGGTATATCTACTTCTTGAAATGGTTGATTGAGACAGTACCTGTGTACTCCTTGCTATGAAAAATGAGGAAGTTAACATACTCATCTTCCACCTTTGCTTTTCATGACTTTTTTTGTTGAAGTATCATTGTGGACATTTTCCCAGTTGACTTCCACTTGATCCCCTGAATTAACTAACTGGCACTGGCGTTTCCTCTGTAAAATGTACAATGTCAGCCACCATCTTGCTATTAAAGTATGGCCCCTGGACCACAATATGGGGGGAATCTCAGGTCCCACCTCAGACTTGCTGGATCAGAACCTGAGTTTTGAGAGGCTGTGGGCAACCAGCACCTCTCAGACCTGCTGTTGGGTTCTCATCAATGGACCCTGTACTTCCTAGCAAATGATACCTGTTGTATGTGTTATTGGTAATAACATAGTTTACTTAGCTGTTACATTAATTAATAAAACATGAGCACTGAAAGAGTTGTTTCTGTGAAAATAAGCTGATTGCTTTAAAAAGACAAGAGACAAATCACACAGACACACACACACACACACACACACACACACAGATTAACACTGTTGGGTGAGACAGTAGTAAGGAAATACAGTAAAAATCCAGAAGGGCTCTGTGCTCTGATGCTTCAGGAGTGTGTCTAAGTTCTTGCTCACTTTAAAGAAGCCGCTACTAGAAATATATAGATCATGATTATGGATGTGATTCATACAAAAAAAAAGAAAAATCCATGGGAAACTCCAGTCAGCAGGTATAAACTCATGCTGGGCATGGCAGCTCAGCACTTTGGGAGGCTCAGGCAGGAGAATGACTTGAGCTCAGGAGTTTAAGACCAGCCTGGGCAACATAGTGAGAACTTGTCTCTACAAAAAATGAAAAAATTAGCCAGGTTGGGTGGCACACACCTGTAGTCCCAGCTACTTGAGAGGCTGAGGCCAGAGGATTATTAGATCTCAGGTGGTTGAGGTTGCAGTGAGCCATGATCATGCCTGAGTGACAAGGTGAAACCCTGTCTCAAAGAAAGAAAGAGAGAAAAGCCGTTGGCTCTACACCTAGAGACTGGCCAGTGAATATGCATTTATAGCATGTAAGTTAAAATTAAGTGTTTAAGCTTTGACTGCAGCTGTTTTTGTGATTCTCTGCTGTTCACCAGCGATCTTGATGTGACATTGAATGAGAGAGCTCCAGCTGTATTTTTTTGTTGATAGTGTTAAGATTATAGCTTTTAAAAATTTTGTTTTCTAACATAATTAAGGCTTTTATGCTTTGCCTCTAGGTTGATTCTAAAAGTGCAATACTACTAGAAAGGATTTATAGTATTTTGATTATGGAAATATTATTCACTATAGAATAAGTAGCACAGTCAAAACCATATGCACTTTTATGTTTCAAAACCCTTATTGCTGGAAGAACATTTTGGGGTTAAGATCCAGTCCTTTTCATGTTTTACTTTTCTTCTATTCTCCTGTATGAGACTCATCTATTTTTGTTTTTCAAGAACTTTTCATGTGGAAAATGTGGTAAATTTTTAGTTTTTGCATGTTTAAAAATTTCTAGGCCGGGCGCGGTAGCTCACGCCTGTAATCTCAGCACTTTGGGAGGCCGAGGCGGGCGGATCACGAGGTCAGGAGATCGAGACCATCCTGGCTAACATGGTGAAACCCCGTCTCTAAAAATACAAAAAATTAGCGGGGCGCGGTGGCGAGCGCCTGTAGTCCCAGCTACTGGGGAGGCTGAGGCAGGAGAATGGCGTGAACCCGGGAGGCAGAGCTTGCAGTGAGTGGAGATCGCGCCACTGCACTCCAACCTGGGCGACAGAGCGAGACTCCTCAAAAAAAAAAAAAATTCTGTATTTTGCTCTCTCAATTCATTGACAGTCGACTGGGTATTCAAATTGTTTACCTGAAGAATTTTAAGAACATTTTCTGGACTACTTTTAAACAAATTTCAGATATTATTTTATCCTTAAATCTTTAGTATGTGTCTTCAAAACATTAGGACTTGGCCGGGCACGGTGGATCATGCTTGTAATCCTAGCACTTTGGGAGGCTGAGGCAGGTGGATTGCTTGAATCCAGGAGTTCAGAACCAGCCTGGGCGACATAGTGAAACCTTATGTCTACAAAATATTAGCTGGACATGGTGGTGCGCCCCTCTAGTCCCAGCTACCCGGGAGGCTGAGGTCGGAGGGTCACTGCAGTGCAGGAGATTGAAGCTGCAGTGAGCCAAGATCATGCCACTACACTCCAGCCTGGGTGACAGAAGTGAAACCCTGTCTCAAAAAAACCAAAAACAAACAAACAGAAAACCCTCAATACTATTACCACACCTTAGAAAAGGAATAAGAATTCCTTAAAATCCCCTAATGCACTGTTTATATTCAAATTTTCCTATTTCATTAGTGCTTTTTACAGTTTGTTTTCTTCAAATCAAGAGCCAAACAAGATCTACACATAGCATTTCTTAATATGTCTTAAGTCTCTTTTATTCTTCTCTATTTTTATGCCACTAGTTTTTTTTAAGAAACCTGGTCTTTTGACCTCTAGAATTTTCCCCATATTCTGGATCTATCCATTACCTCTTCATGGTTTGTATTAGGCCACTCTAGCATTGTTACAAAGAAATATCTGAGACTGGGTAATTTACAAAGAAAAGAGGTTTGGCGGGGCGCGGTGGCTCACGCCTGTAATCCCAGCACTTTGGGAGGCCAAGGTGGGCGGATCACGAGGTCAGGAGATGGAGACCATCCTGGGTAATACGGTGAAACCCGTGTCTACGAAAAATACAAAAAATTAGCCAGGCGTGGCGGCGGGCGCCTGTAGTCCTAGCCACTGGGGAGGCTGAGGCAGGAGAATGGCGTGAACCTGGGAAGTGGAGTTTGCAGTGAGCCGAGATCACGCCACTGCACTCCAGCCTGGGCGACAGAGCGAGACTCCGTCTCAGAAAAAAAAAAAAAGGAAAAAGGTTTAATTGACTCAGTTCTGCAGGTTGCATAGGAAGCATGGTCCTGACATTTGCTTGGCTTTTGGGGAGGCCTCAGTGAGCTTTTACTGAAGCGGGAGCAGGCACTTCACATGGTGAGAGAGGGAGAAAGAGAGATAGTTGCGGGGGAGGTGCCACACTTTACAACAGCCAGATCTCACGAGGACTCACTGTGGCGAGAAGTCACTACGGTGAGAGCGGCTCCAGGCTGTGAAGGAGCTGTGCCTATGACCCAAACATCTCCCACCAGGCCTCACCTTCAACACTGAGGATTACAGTTCAAGATAAGATTTGGGCGGGGACAAATACCCAGACTGTCATGTTGTCATTTACTATCTCCCATTTTTCCTGTAACTGGTAGTTAGAGATAAAGGTTCAGGTAGTCAGCAGTCACTTTTTTTTTTCCTTTTTTTTTTTTTTTAAGACAGAGTTTCACTCTGTCGCCCAGGCTAGAGTGCAGTGGTGCAATCTCAGCTCACTGCAACCTCTGCCTCCCGGGTTCATGCCATTCTCCTGCCTCAGTCTCCCGAGTAGCTGGGACTACAGGCGCCCACCACAGCGCCCAGCTAATTTTTTTTTTTGGGGTATTTTTTAGTAGAAACAGGGCTTCACTGTGTTAGCCAGGATGGTCTTGATCTCCTGACCTTGTGATCCACCCACCTCAGCCTCCCAAAGTGCTGGGATTCAGCAGTCACTTTTAATGTGCAGGACTCTTTCTCATTTTTTGGTTACTTCATGCCTTTTCTTGCTTTCTGAATGCAATGTTTTCCCAAATCTCTCTGAAGGTACTACTTAGACTTCACTGTTGCTTATTGTTCTATACCCTAAATGATCTCTGTTTGCTTTGGGGTCAGTTCTACTTTTTCATCTTCTCATGCTTTTGATTTTTCAAAAATGTTGGAGGATCCTCAAGAAAGTTAAAACCACTTTCTCTGGAATAATACCATGTGGATTTAAATCTTGCCTCTGGCTGAACACAGTGGCTTACTCCTGTAATCCCACTTCAGGAGGCCAAGGCAGGAGGATCACTTGAGGCTAAGAGTTCGAGACCAGCTTTGGCAACACAGTGACACCCTGTCTCTACAAAAACTTAAAAAATTAGCCATGGGGTCATGAGCCTGTGGTCCCAGCTACTTAGGAGGCTGAGATGGGAAGATCCCTTGAGCCCAGGAGGTTGATGCTGCAGTGAGCCAAGGTAGCACTACTGCACTCCAGCCTGGGCCACAGAAAGAGAGCCTGTGCCTTAAAAGTAAATCAATACATACAAATGAATCCTGCCTCTAACAGTTATTAGTTGCTTAGTTTGGCAGAGTCACTGTAACCTATCTGTGCCTCACATTTTTATCTGTAAAACAGGGATACAGCAGTACCTGCCTGATGGGTTCATTGAGAGGATTAAATGAGTTAATACACATTCAGTGCATTGAATAGTCTTAGCATATAGTAAACAACAACTTTTGGTGGTTTGACTAAGGAGCAGGGGAGAGAAGATAGAAGAGGTTGGAGAGGTCAGGGAGGCGCCAGATCATGGAGGCCCTCGTGTGCTGCCATGAGTTGATTCTAAGAGTAGCATGGAGCCATTGGAGGGGCCTAACTTTGGGTTCTAATAAAGAAGGAAGCATGGGTGGGGGCCTACCCCAGACTGGGGGTTGTGTGTGTATATGTGCATGGCCATGCGCCTGTGTGCAAATACATACATGTCTGTAGCCGGTGGCTGAGGCTGGACCCCTGGCCAGAGCCCATGCTGAGCCCCTGCTGTTCTCTGCAGGCTGTGGGTGAGCGTGGAGGATGCTCAGATGCACACTGTCACCATCTGGCTCACAGTGCGCCCTGATATGACAGTGGCATCCCTCAAAGACATGGTGAGTGAGGAGGCTGAGGGCGACACTGGGGTGGAGGCTCTCCCTTTCGCTCCTGCTTCCTCTCTCTCCTCTGGCCCTGTCTTCCCACTTTCTCTCTCGGTGCCTCCACCAGGTTTTTCTGGACTATGGCTTCCCACCAGTCTTGCAGCAGTGGGTGATTGGGCAGCGGCTGGCACGAGACCAAGAGACCCTGCACTCCCATGGGGTGCGGCAGAATGGGGACAGTGCCTACCTCTATCTGCTATCAGCCCGCAACACCTCCCTCAACCCTCAGGAGCTGCAGCGGGAGCGGCAGCTGCGGATGCTGGAAGGTGAGGCTCTGCCCCGAGCACCGTGGGACCCAGCAGGGGCCCTGGACTCACTTGAGAGTGTAGGGCAAGCAGGAGCAGAGCCCCTGGGTTTTTAGTCAGGGGCTCACCCAGAGGACCCTATCCAAGTGGGGAAGAGAGGACCTAAGACACATGGGAGGGAGCATTTCAGGGACCCATCATGACAACAGCTGGCATGGGGACGGGTGGATTCCATCCAGGCTCTGGCATTCCCAGCTGTGTGACCTTGGGCAAGGTTAGTCCCATCTGCTGTCCAGTTTGCTAAAATCATAAACTGGGTATGACGGTGATGATAACTAGTGTTTATTCTTAATTTTTAACTTGTGAAATGTTTCAGACCTACAGAAAAGTTGCCAAATTTTACAAAGTAGTATATAAAGAATTCCCGTGTGCCTTTCATGTGGGTTTTACCATATTTGCTTTCTTTTATCATTCTCTTTCTATATAAAATTATTTTATTTTCTGAACCATTTTGAGAGTAAGTTGCAGCCATGATGTCTCTTTCCCCTAAATAATTCAGTGTGCATTCCCTTGAAAAGAAAGGTCATTTTCTTATATTACTAGGCATAACAATCCAACTCAGGAAACTAACAGTGATACAGTACTGGTATCTAATCTACAGATCTTACTCAAATTTTACCAGTTGTCCCACTATTATCATTTATAGCAAAGACTTGGCATTCAACTGTCATGTCTCAATCCCTTTCAAAGAGTCTAGGCCTGTTTCTTTTTTGTGGCGGGGGTAGGGGCTGATGTTTCCTGGGGAATGGAGTGAGCCACTGTTTTGGCAGGACCGCCTCAGCGGTGCTCTTGTGTCCCACTTGGTGAATCCTTCAGGAGGCACAGAAAGGCAGGTGTTATGGTAGATTTTGAAGCTCAGAGGACATAGGAGCATTTGCGGGTGGAATAGGGACCCTGACCCTGGAGGAGCCAGGATGCCCATTTGGCCAGATGGAAGCTGGAGATGCCCCCAGGGAGGAGGGAGAGGATAGGGGGAGGGTCTGCCTGGCTGGCTCAGGGAGACCCACCCCCATGGGTGTGGACCAAGCGGGCCACATGGAACCACCACCCCTTAACCCTTCTCCACAGATCTGGGCTTCAAGGACCTCACGCTGCAGCCACGGGGCCCTCTGGAACCAGGTCCCCCAAAGCCCAGGGTCCCCCAGGAACCCGGACGGGGGCAGCCAGATGCAGTGCCCGAGCCCCCACCGGTAAGCTGTCCCTGACCACACTTCCCTGGCCTCAGTATCCTCTTCTGTGCCCCTCCCTTGCCTCACCCTGTCCAGTCCGGCTCACAGCCCGCTTTGCTCCCAGGTGGGCTGGCAGTGCCCCGGGTGCACCTTCATCAACAAGCCCACGCGGCCTGGCTGTGAGATGTGCTGCCGGGCACGCCCCGAGGCCTACCAGGTCCCCGCCTCATACCAGCCCGACGAAGAGGAGCGAGCGCGCCTGGCGGGCGAGGAGGAGGCGCTGCGTCAGTACCAGCAGGTGGGTGCGGAAGTCCCTGGACAGACACCTGCAGACCGCACGGGGGAGGTGTAGGCCAGGAAGGGAGACACCTGTGCATTGCCGCTCCTCCCCATTACTGCCTTGCCCCTCCCAACCACGCTGCTGGCAGTGACCCTGCACCTGGCTGTGACCTGCCCTCTCTCAGAGGTCACCCTGTGGCTGAGACCCACTCCCTGGCTGTGACGCACATCCAGATTCACATGCCTCACTCCCACGTGAGCTGTGGCTCCATCCCTAGCTTTGACACACCACACAAGTATGGCTGGCTATGACCCCAGCATCCTAGCCATGACCACACCTCAGCTCGGACCTCACCCTCACCTGCCTGTGACCTAATCCTACTCCACCTCCCCGTGACCTCACCCTGGACTCTCCTACTGCTGACCTCATCCCTCTCGGGCTTGGCCCACCCTTGACTTCCTGAGAGCCTGGCCTGGCCCCTCACTGCTCCCTAGGGGGATGACCCCCAACCCTGGTCTTGTGCCTTAGCCCTCCCCCGCCCCCATCATGACACACACTAATGACACAGACAGTGACCCCCGAGTGCTCCCCATTCTGATCTCACCCCTGGCCCACCTGCATTCCCCTTGGACCCGGTGCTACCCCTGGCCAGCCCACTCCTGTTCTCGTCTCAGCCTTGCTCTGCTCCCCGGCTTTGTCACTTCCTCACCCCTGACCTTGAGCTGGCTCCACCAGCCCTGGCCCAGGCCCTGCCCTGCTACCTGACTCACCACTCAGACCCTGGCCCCCTTCCTTTCCCTGCTGCCACTGCTCCCTCTCCTGATGCCTTCCCTGGCTACCTGGCCGGCCTCCCCTCCCTTGGCTTCCCCATGGTCCGCCTGGCCTCTCTCCCAGCCCCGCCCCTCCCAACCTTCTTGCTCCTGACCACCCCTGCCCACCCCCATCCCGGATCCCCGATCCCCGATCCCGACTGGCTCCCAGCTTTGCCTCTTGCTGGTCTGACCCAGCCCTGACCACGCCCTCCGGTCCTTCCCCCTTCGTGGTCTGACCCGCCCCCGAGGCCCTGACCCACCCCGTGGCCCCGCCCCGTGTGCCCAGCGGAAGCAGCAGCAGCAGGAGGGGAACTACCTGCAGCACGTCCAGCTGGACCAGAGGAGCCTGGTGCTGAACACCGAGCCCGCCGAGTGCCCCGTGTGCTACTCGGTGCTGGCGCCCGGCGAGGCCGTGGTGCTGCGTGAGTGTCTGCACACCTTCTGCAGGTGCGGCCCCCAATCCCACCCCCGGCAATGCAGCTTTATTAAAGTCGCCAGTTACGCAGGGCTGGACGTGGGTGGGGCCCTGTGCTCTGATACCTCACTGGACGCCCGCGAATACCTACGAGGTAGGCTCCGTCTCCCCATTTTGCAGATGAGGAACCTGAGGTGCAGAGAGGCCAAGCAGCTTACCCAAGGCCACATGGCTCGTAAGAGAAGCAGCCTAGACATGAACGCAGGCATGGGTGGAGACTCCGGAGCCTCCCTTCCCCTCTACCTTTCACCGCCCAGGCTCCTGCAGCCACGCTGCTCTGAGCCTCGCTGTGGGCATCTGCCAGTTTCTGAGTCTCCTGTCATGGCCCTTCCACCCCTGAATGTGGGGAACACAGACCCACTCACCACAGCAGACCCTTGTGGAGCAGTCCCTGGGTGACAGGCTCCATGCCTGCCTCCTGGAGCTTACATTCCAGCAGAGAGGCTGATGTGAATTGGATAATCACTGGTTGATGTCCTTGTGAATTATGTCAAATGCTACATACAGTACATTAAGAGACAACAGGAGTCCTTCCTGGAAAGGGTGGTCTGGAAGCTTCCAAGGAGGTAGCTCCAGAGCAGGGACTGGAAGGCCTGCTGTAGGTGTGGGCCTGGCGTGTTGGAGGAAGCTGAGGAGGTCTCTTGGTGGCTGGAGCAGAGGGATGAAGGGGGTAATCAAAGAGCAGGATAGAGAGGTGTTGGGTCTGTGAGCAGCGATGAGGAGTTGGGATTTGTTCTGGGTGGGATGGGGGTCACTGGGGAGACATGGCTGCTGTTCTGAGATAGACTTTAGGGGCCAGATGGATGCAGGGAGCCCAGTGAGGAGGCTCCTGAAGTCACCCAGGCGGGGGATGTGGGGCCTGGACCAGAGAATTGGAGCGGCCATATGGAGACAGGATTGGAGGCCTTGGAGAGGGATGGGAAGGAAGGGGATATTGAGGAGAAGCCCACCTGGGGTGACTGAGTGAGGCCCCTGGGGTCAGGCCTTGCCATGTGAGGGGTGGAGTCCCCAGTGGATGGGGTTCCTATGATCCTAACTCTTCTCCCCTCCCCTCCCCTAGGGAGTGCCTGCAGGGCACCATCCGCAACAGCCAGGAGGCAGAGGTCTCCTGCCCCTTCATTGACAACACCTACTCGTGCTCGGGCAAGCTGCTGGAGAGGGAGATCAAGGCGGTAAGGCCTTGGGGTGGGAGACATACCCCAGTCCTAAGGAACTGGGCCCGGAGCAGGCAGGTAGGGACTGGCTCAGGCAGCAGGCATCTTTTCTTTCTTTTTCTTTTCTTTTTTTTTTTTTTTGGGAGATGGGGGTCTCCCTATGTGGTCCAAGCTGGTCTCAAACTCCTGGGCTTAAGTGATCATCCATCCTCGGCCCCCCAGACATTTTTCAAGAGATTTGTCTATGTGGGGTGCTGAGACCCCAAACAGAGAAAGAATTGAGGGGAGTAGCTAGTCAAGAAACCACATGTATGAAGGAAAGACAGCAGAGTTGTTAAGAGTCAGGGACTCGGCTGGGCGTGGCAGCTCACACCTGTAATCCCAGCACTTTGGGAGGCCAAGGTGGGCAGATTGCTTGAACCCATGAGCTCTAGACCAGCCTGGGCAACATGGCAAAACCCTGTCTCTCCAAAAAATATTAAAAAAATAGCCAGTCGCAGGGGCATGCGCCTGTAGTCCTAGCTACTCGGGTGGGGGTCAGGAGTGAGTGGGCTGAGGTGGGAGGATTGCTTGAGCCTGGGAGGTCAGGGTTACGGTGAGCTGTGATTGTGCCACTACACTCTAGCCTGGGCAACAGAGTGAGACCTTGCCTCAAAAAAAGAAAAAAAAATAGTCGGGGAACTCTGGAGCCTGGTGGCCTGGGTGTGTGACCACAAGTCAGATATTTAACCTCTCTATGCCTCTATCTCATCTCTGTTAGAGTCAGAGTTACAGCTTCTATTTCCAGGATTGCAAAGATTATGGCAGAGCATATGTGTATAGAATTTAGAGTAGTGCGGCCAGGCACAGTGGCTCATTCCTGTAATCCCAGTGCTTTGGGAGGCCGAGGTGGGTAGATCACCTGAGGTCGGGAATTCGAGACCAGCCTGACTAACATGGAGAAACCCCATCTCTACTAAAAATACAAAATTAGCTGGGTATGGTGGCACATGCCTGTAATCCCAGCTGCTCCAGAGGCTGAGGCAGGGGAGTCGCTTGATCCCAGGAGGTGGAGGTTGCAGTGAGCCGAGATTGCGCCATTGCACTCCAGCATGGGCAACCAGAGCGAAACTCCGTCTCAAAACCTATATCTGTATTTAGAGTAGTGCTTGTCACATGGTAAGCCTTTGTTGTTGTTAGCACTTACTGTGTAACAAATCACTGCAGGCTCAAAACAACAGTCATTTATTTAGCTCATAAATCTGCAAGTTGAGTTGGCCGTCTGTATCTGTGGGTACCACACTGGAGAATTCAACAACGGTGGATAGAATATATTCTTAAGAAAACAAAAAAATTACAATAAAAACAAAATTTAAGAAACAATACAGCATTAACTGTTTACATAACATTTATGTTATATTAGGTATTATAAGTAATCTACAGGTGATTTAAAGTGTATGGGAGGATGTTGGTAGGTTGTATGCAAATACTATGCCGTTTTATATAAAGAGTTTGAGCATCCCTGGATTTGGGTATCTGCAGGGATCTTGGAACCAATTCTCTCTGGATACCGAGGGATGACTATAATTTGGGTCGGACTTATCCGGATGGTTCTTCTGATCTGGGCAGGGCCTCGCTGATTTCACCTGGGCCTCGCTGGTGGGTCAGCTGTTTGTTTGTTTAATTTTTATTTTTTATTTTTGAGGGTACATAGTTGGTGTATACATTTCTGGGGTACATGAAATACTTTGATACAGGCATGCAGTGCGTAATAATCACATCATGGAGAATGGGGAAGCCATCCCCTCAAGCATTTATCCTTTGTGTTATGGACAGTCCAGTTATGCTTTCTTAGTTATTATAAAATGTACAATTAAATTATTGACTATAGTCTGTCTGTTGTGCTATCAAATACCAGTTCTTTTTTTTTTTTTTTTTTTTTTTTTTTTGAGACGGAGTCTCGCTCTGTCGCCCAGGCTGGAGTGCAGTGGCCGGATCTCGGCTCACTGCAAGCTCCGCCTCCCGGGTTCATGCCATTCTCCTGCCTCAGCCTCCCGGGTAGCTGGGACTACAGGCGCCCGCCACTTCGCCCGGCTAGTTTTTTGTATTTTTTAGTAGAGACGGGGTTTCACCGTGTTAGCCAGGCTAGTCTTGATCTCCTGACCTCGTGATCCACCCGTCTCGGCCTCCCAAAGTGCTGGGATTACAGGCTTGAGCCACCACACCCGGCCAAATACCAGTTCTTATTCTATTTTTTTGTACCAATTTACCATCCCCACTCCCTTCCCACACCACACTACCCTTTGCTGCTTCTGGTAACCATCCTTTTACTCTCTGTCTTCGATAGTTCAGTTGTTTTGATTTTTAGCACCTGCAAATAAGTAGAACATGTAATGTTTGTCTATCTGTGCCTGGCTTATTTCATTTAACATAATGACCTCCAGTTCCTCCATGTTGCTGTAAATGACAGAATTGCATTCTTTTTTTATGGCCGAGTAGTACTCCATTGTGTATATGTACCACATTTTCTTTATAGGATACTAGTTTAATCATGTCTTTCCCCACATTGCTTATTATTTATGTTCTTTTCTTTATTGTGACAAAATAGACATAACATTTACCATTTTAACCATTTTTTAAGTGTACCGTTCAGTGGCATTAAGTACATTCACACTGTTGTGCAACCATTACCACTGTCCACCACCAAAACTTTTAGAAATTCCCCCCACTTTCTTTTTACTTTTCTTTTCCTTTTTTTTTTTTTTTCAGCTAGGATTTCATTCTGTCACCCAGGTTGGAGTGCAGTGCATCAGTCATGGCTCACTGCAGTCTTGACCTTCTGGGCTCAAGCAGTCCTCACAACCCAGCCTCCCAAGTAGCTGGGACTACAGGTGTGAGCACCACACCTGCTTTTTTTTTTTTTTTTTTAATTTTTTTGTAGAGATGAGGTCTCACCGTATTTCTCAGGCTGATCTTAAACTCTTGGCCTCAAGGAATCCTCCTGCCTTGATTGACCTCCCAAAGTGCTGGGATTACAGGTATAAGCCACCACGCCTGGCCTAAAATCCACTTTTTGAATGGAGTTTTTCAACACTATGAGGATCACATGAAGGAAAAAGCCTGGCCTGGGTTGGAGTTTATGGGCTGGGGGCTTTCTGGAAGGTATGTGGTGGTCAAGGGTCATATGTCAGGTGTTCTGAATCCTGAGCAACAAGGACGTGGTCTGTTGGCAGCTCCTGACCCCTGAGGATTACCAGCGATTTCTAGACCTGGGCATCTCCATTGCTGAAAACCGCAGTGCCTTCAGCTACCATTGCAAGACCCCAGATTGCAAGGGATGGTGCTTCTTTGAGGATGATGTCAACGAGTTCACCTGCCCTGTGTGTTTCCATGTCAACTGCCTGCTCTGCAAGGTGGGGCCAGGGACTCACCCCACCTAGTCACTGTCATCTTGCCTGGAGCTTACCACGCTGCAGTGCGTGTTCTCCTGGGAAGGGAGCTGTGACCCTGGCCTGCTAGTCATGACTTAGAGCTGCATGTCGGTGGGAGAGTGTGGCTCGAGCCTGAACCAAGCCCTGGTCCCACAGATGGGGTCCCAGACCCGGCCCCAGATGGAGCCTCCAACCTAGGCAGCCCTGGTCCACAATGGAGCCCTGACCCGGGACCAGTCAACCCCAGTCACAGACTGAATCCCAGTCCCACACTGAGCCCTGACCCCATCCAAGTCCATAGACTCGGCCTCTGACCAAACCTGACCCTGCACTTGTCACTTAAGGTGGTCCCATATTCAGCCCAGAGCCTGAACTAAGCTCTGACCCTGGCTTCTGACTGAACCTGTCACAGACTAAGGCCCAACCCTGGCCCTATGCCACATCTCCGCCCCTGTCCTGAACTGAGTGCTGACCCCAAACCCAGACAGCCCTGCATGATCCTTCCCCCAGGCCTGTCCCTGCCCCTTCATCTCAAAAGTGGAAGGTGAGGAGCCGGTAAACAGGTCTGGAGCCTGGTCTCACACTCAGCCTGAGCAGGCTCAGTCTGGGGTCATTGGGCCTGTAACCCCGGGCAGGGCCTTGGCAGGGACGCGGGGTTTCACCTTACGGGTGTAAGGGATTTCCGTGCCCATCAGAACTGAAATAAGCTGGGTGTGGCAGCATGTGCTGGTAGCTTGTGCTACTCAGGAGGCTGAGGTATATTTTGCTGTTAGCATATGTGATGACCTTGACTTCACCTCCCTGGTGCCAGTATCCTCTTCTGTAAAATGGCTTATGCTTGACAAAGTGAGGTCCTGCCAGTGACTACACCTAGAGGCATTAAGTGCCTTTGTGGACTCCTGCCCTGCGCCTCACCTCTCCCAGCTTCTTAACCCCCTGAGGAACCTTCTTACCTTGAGTCCCTCACCTGCTGCAGGCCATCCACGAGCAGATGAACTGCAAGGAGTATCAGGAGGACCTGGCCCTGCGGGCTCAGAATGATGTGGCTGCCCGGCAGACGACAGAGATGCTGAAGGTGAGGCTGGGACAGGGCCGAGGCCTAGGGATTTTAAGTTCTGGGATCCAGGTGGGGGCTGGGGGCTTCTCAGCAAGGGCTGTGCTCACACATCTCTGGAGGCTCTGGTCTCCCTTCTGGCTGTCACTTCCATCCAGAGATGGGACTTAGGCCAAGCTGTCGTGTTGGGAAGAGCGTCTGGGTGGAGGGTGGAGACCACAGGAATGAAGAGGGGCTTGCTGGACAGAGCCTGGCCTGGCAGAGCTGCACAGGAGAGACTCCACAGCACCAGAGGGTCTCTACCTTCTCCCTGCCATGGGGAGGAGCCAGGCTGGGTGACTGCCCCAGCCCCGCCCCAAGGCCAGCGCCTGTCCCGCTCCAGGTGATGCTGCAGCAGGGCGAAGCCATGCGCTGCCCCCAGTGCCAGATCGTGGTACAGAAGAAGGACGGCTGCGACTGGATCCGCTGCACCGTCTGCCACACCGAGATCTGCTGGGTCACCAAGGGCCCACGCTGGGGCCCCGGGGTGAGTCTTCGCTGGTGGTGGTGTGGAGAGGGTGCCTTTGTGGGTTTGCCTTAGAGGAGGGCTTGGAAAACTACAGCCCATGGGCCATATCCAACCCAGCACCTGACTTTGTACAGCTCCCGAGGTCAGAGTGTTGTTTCTTTTGAAACGGAGTTTCGCTCTTGTCGCCCAGGCTGGAGCGCAATAGCGCAGTCTCGGCTCACTGCAACCTCTGCCTCTCAGGTTCAAGCAATTCTCCTGCCGCAGCCTCCCAAGTAGATGGGATTACAGGCACCACCATGCCTGGCTGATTTTGTATTTTTAGTAGAGACAGGGTTTCTCCATGTTGGTCAGGCTGGTCTCAAATTCCTGACCGCAGGTGATCCGCCTGCCTCAGCCTCCCAAAGTGCTGGGATTACAGGCGTGAGCCACCGTGCCCGGCCACAGGAATGTCCTTTACATCTTTAAATGGTTGAAAAAATACCAAAAGATGACTATCTTGTGACGTGAAAATTACATGAAATCCACATTTCAGTGTCCATAGGTAAAGTGCTTTGGAGCACAGCCGTGCTCGTTCATTTACATGTTGTCTGTGGTTGCTTTCACACTGCAGAAGCAGAGGCCATATGGCTGCCCAGCCCAAAATGACCGGCCCTTTATAGAAAAGGTTTGCCTACCCTTGCCCTAGAGGACAGCAAGTAAAGGTTCCATCTGGAGTTAGAGGTGGATTGGCCCCTGGCTCTGGCACATACCGACTGTGTGATTAGGCTGCCGCTCACCTCTCTCAGCCCTATTTCCTCTGTGAAATGGAGATGATAGCTGGGCTTATCTCAGGCTTGTTGTCAGAATCAAGTGGAAAAATTGCAAGAGAAGTGCTTAGAGAGTCTGTCATTTGGTGAGCACTCTTGCAAATGGTAGCTGTCATTATTAGGGGTGTGCTCTGGAATTGGGAGCCTGTTGTAACGTTCAGGTAGACTTTCAGACAGGTAGAGGCAGAGGAACCTGCCCTCGTGCATGCTGCCAGTATGCTGACATGTCTAGAATATGCAGAGTGGTCAGATCCTCTCCCTGGCCTGTTCCTGGATCTAGGCTTGGGTAGACTGAGTGCTGTGGGAGCCCAGAAAAGGCCTCAGTGACTCTCCATCAGGCAGCTGAGGCCGACAAGGCCATTCTTGCAGGAGGGCCTGCAGAGGCAAAAGCCCAGGTGGGAGAGTGCTCGGCTTTTGGGGCAGTCTCTGCACTGCCCTGACATTTTCTCTTCCTGTCATCTTCTAGGGCCCAGGAGACACCAGCGGGGGCTGCCGCTGCAGGGTGAATGGGATTCCTTGCCACCCAAGCTGTCAGAACTGCCACTGAGCAAATGGTGGGACCCCATGCTGACCCAGCCCCACATCCACATTCTGTTACGGGGCAGGGCTGGGCTTGGGGCTTTGGCTCCAACTTCTGGCTGGGAGATGCTTTTGTGCGGAGACCAAGTCCCTGAGCTTCGTGGACGGCCTTGCTTGCTGTAGCGTTGTAGGGGCCCTGCCTGCACTGCTGTTGTCCATAGTCACATCTGCCCCAGTGCGTTTGTCCTTCCCTTGGGGCTTGCCAACCAGACTTCTCTCCCCTGCAGCTCCGACCTCTGCCTGACCCCAGCCTTAAACACAGCCCCTGGCCAGAGGCCTTGCTGGGTGGAGCCTCTGTGTGACTCCATACTCCGCCCACCACAACACTCATCTTTCGAATACCAAGCACTCTCAGCCTCCCTGCCTTCCCCTGTCAGCTTTCCGGGGCTAACTGTTCTCTGCCTTTGTGGTTGGAGGCCCGGGGCGCTTAGAACTCTTGCTAACCTGTTCAGAGCCGGGAAGGAGACTGGGCAGTTGGAAAGCACAGCCCCTCAGGTCCAGTTCTGCGTCTCCCTCTCTGCAGCGTGTGTAAGCTATTATAATTAAAATGGTTTTCCGCGAAAGGATGAGTGTGATGTCCTTGAGAGGAAGTGAATGTCCTGGGCTGGGACTCTGCACACAGGCAGGATCCCGAGGTCTCTGGAAACTGCCTCAGAAAGTTGACTTGTCAGTCCATCGATGGTAGAATGAGGCTGTGACTGAGCACTGGGACCTTTCTACCAGACGTGGACCCCACGCCCAGCCTCGGGGACCAGGATGCGCTTGGGTCCCCGTCAGCCAGGACAGGCGGAGTGTGCAGTCTGTGAAGTCTGCAGAGAAGGATGGGCTTAGGGGAGGGAGGGGAAGTCTTGCCACTCCTGCTCCCTTTTGACCTCTCAGCAGGCATCCAGGGTTGGCAGGTTGATAGTTCAAGAAGGAACCAAGCTGCTGCAGTTGAGGGGTGAGGTCCATCCTAATTTTCACATCTCAAGCAAGACGGCAAAGTATCGATTCAGCAGTATTGGTTAGCACCCACTCAGTGCTGGTCAGAGGTGACTAAGACATGGTCCTGGGATGCTCATTCTGTAAGTTTTTCCTCCATTCTGTGACCCACCCTCCTTCCCCTTTTGAGATCTGGTATTTATTGTCCACGCTGTGATGTGACCATCATCATAGCAGGTGCAGGGCGCCTCTTCTGCTGAAGGCCTGTGGTTTTGTGGGGAAGGGCCTGTTCTGGCCTCTGGAAAGGCACTGCCACCTGCTGTTGGATGCCAAGACTCAAGAGCTGGCCCCAGTCACTGTGCACAGAGCTGTCCGAGAATGTGTGAGTGGACTGGGTCCTGCCGGCACTACCTGCATTGGCTCAGGGCAGTCGACCATCGCAGAGGATGAGGGGCGCACTCAGGCAGCCTTCCCGGCCCTGGAGGCAGAAAGGCCCAGGCAGAACCACCGACTGGGAGGAAACAGAAAAAGCAGAGGAGAGCCAGGCTGCAGGCGCGTGGATGGGACCCACTTGGGCAGATGCTGTCTCATACCCACTCTCCCCTCTCTTGCCAGGGCCTGGCCTAGTGTCTCTCAGGAGCCTGGGCACCAGACAAAAGCAGAGATTGTTCTCTTGTGGTGCCGTCGGCTGTAATCAGTCCACCTAATGTTTTAGAAATTTAAATTGGTTGCCAATCTTTTTAAATTGGCAACATCTTTTACTACATTAAAATCTCGATGCCCGGCTTCTCTTGAAAATGTCAAAGCTTGGTAATGCCAGCTTTGGCACATGGGGGGAATGGAGTCGCAGAGATGTCAGGTCTCTTCATGTGGTATATACCCTCCGGTTTGCCACAGTCCTGACCGCCCCAGGACTCACGCCCAGGCCTTTCCAGTGCCCTTGCACCATCCTTTTTCTCTTAAGAGGAAAATGAAGTGGGTCTCTACCCACAGTGTATCACAGGTGAGGGTGAGACGGTCAGAGAGGGCTGTGCTGGCTGTGGCTTTGCTTGACCCGCCCTGTCCATGCTGCAGTGGTGCGGAGGGGCAGCGAGGTATGCGGGGCCAACTCCGGTTCCTGCCTCAGCTCCATGCTCCTCGCACCTGTGAGTGAAAGATCTAAGACGAGCAGGCCCAGGGCACCCTCTACTGCAGGGCCAGGTGGAGGGGCCTCCACCTCCCAAGGCTCCCCCCATGCCAGGGGCCCAGACCTTGAGAGCCCAGCACCAGCTCTCCAGAGCAGAATGAAAACTACACCCCAGGGCTTTGGACTCAAACCATCTAGAGGAAGCAGCAGGAGGTCCCAAATGTACTTGCGTGACACAATGATCGTTCTCTCCCCAGGTGCAGGACAGGGGCAGGGGAAGGTGAGTGGCAGCCCATTGCTCAGATAAAGAGCAGCTGCCACTGAGGTGGCCCCGTGGCCTATGCCGGCGCTCACTGATGTCTTCCTCTAGTGCCTGGGGCTGGCATGGAATCTGCTCAAATGCAGGCAGCTGGAGGTGAGCCCGCAGCCTGGTGCTCCCAAGTGCCAACCATGAGGAAGTCTGGAGAAAAGACCAGGGAGCAGGGGCCCTCGTGAGGAGCAGGAATTGGCAGCAGGGGCCACCAGAACACCAGAGGGGATAGTGGCAGCGGGAGGAAGACAGAGCTAGGCTGAGTCTCAGCCCCGTCACCTCTTGGCTGGTGAAGCCTCTGGCCTGTTCCTCCTTTCAGTCACCACTTCATCCCTGGGTGGTCGTGGGCCCAGTGCAGGACTGGCTACAGGTGTTTGTTGATTGATAACTGCTGACGAAAATGCACAGCTTCACAAACAGAAATGCATTTCACCAACACCCTTGCAGGAAGCCCTCCAGGAGGGACAAAACCATCCCCGCTTTACTGTTATGGATGTGAGCCTCCGAGAGGCAGTGACTTAGATGCGCATCCAGCCAGGAAGGAAGGGACACACTTGACCCTCAGTCTGAGACCCCATCAGGCCACCAATAATTCTCCCTGCAAACCCAGCTCAGGTCAAGGCCTATCTTCACCCTCAAATCACCCTCAAGGCAGGCTTAACTCCTCTCCACAGCACTATAGCCATCCCCACCCGGCCCCGATGCTCCACAGACAGGGCCACCTTCCTCCACAGACCCTAAACCAGAGCCCTTGGGCTTTGCTGGCCCGAAACCACCTAAACTTGTTACTCACGTGTTATTTTTACACTGGCGTTTCCCCTCAGCCTTGCATACTGTGTGGTGTTTTCTGACACCACTTTTCCAGATATCTGACACCAGCGTCAGGGCTACCCACACTTCCTGGCCAACTACACATTCAGGGGTTCCCATGACTCCACCCCCTCAGGTTCAAGAATTTGCCAGAGTGACTCAGAACTGAGGATCGCCCTGCCCTGACGCTTCCTGGTGTGGTGTCCTCAGGGATGCAGTGCGGGCAGGAACAGCCACACTCGAGGTGAACAGGGTAAGGGATGGGAGCAACTGGCAGCCACTGGAATCTCAAGTTTTGGGTTTTTTGTTTGTTTTTTTGAGACGGAGTCTTGCTCTGTCTCCCAGGCTGGGAGTGCAGTGGTATAGTCTTGACTCACTGCAACTTCCACCTCCCAAGTTCAAGTAATTCTTCTGCCTCAGCCTCCCAAGTAGCTGGGATTACAGGCACCCACCACCATGCCCGGCTAATTTTTGTATTTTAATACAGATGGGGTTTCACCATGTTGGCCAGGCTGGTCTCGAACTCCTGACCTCAGGTGATCTGCCCGCCTCGGCCTCCCAAAGTGCTGGAATTATAGGCGTGAGCCACCGCGCGCCCAGCCCTGAATCTCAAGTTTGTAAAGTGCTCCACCTCAGTCAGCCTGACTCCCAGGAGTCACTGCTTGGGATCGAAAGTTTCCACCTTCGAAATCACCTGGTCTTTCTGGTGCAGGAGCGACCCTGAGGCAATCTAGGGGCCCTACTGTAACAACTTCATTAGCATTAACTCAAATGGGCTGGAAAGGGGTTATGAATACCAAGACATTCACCACTCACGAAATTTCAAGGGTTGTTGGAGCTTGGAGCCCCGTGTTAGGAACCCAGGAGGAAGACCAAATATTTCTTAGTATCCCACACATACCCTTCCTCAGTTCTCCAATTATCATAATTCTATTCATCCTTCACATTCCAGCCTCACCTTCTATGAAAGCGCCCCTGAATTTGCTGCAGGATACAGATTGCTCCTGGAGTGCAGTTCTGGTGAGAGCTTGCAGAGGCAGCACAGTGCCCTGGGCAGCCCTGTGTACCCCACGACTGTCAGATCAAAGGGCAACGTGACCCTGGCCCACAGTGGCAGGAGCCGAGTGCCACTGGCTTGGCCCTGGGAACCTGCACATCTCCCCTCTGGGCCAAGGAAATGAACAACACAGACAACAGGGTCTCCCTGATGGCCCCATCCCCAGGGTGGAGGCCCTGTACCGGGCACTGCTCTGTGCTCGCTTGCGCTCCCCAGCCGCTGGCAGTGTCTGGAGGATGTTGGAAAGCTTGGGAAGAGCAGGCTGAGCAGCTCCTTTGTGGACAGAAAGGCCATGTGGAGAAGAAGCGGCACATCAAGCTCTGGTTAGGATCCAAAAACAAATGCCAGCTCCTACGATCCCCAGACCAGGGTGTGAAACGTAGCCCAGAGCACCCCAGACCCGCACCAGTTGCGTCAACTGTGCCAGTACCCGGAGTGGAAAAAACATGAACTCAAACTGTGTTTTCCTCCGCTGCGCTCTCAACGCCGAGAGACATCTGTGGCCAAATGTGTTGGGGATTTCTCCCGACACCAAGCAAGCAAGCAATTCTGCAGCCTACACCAGCTGGGTATCCTCCAATTCAATTCAGTGCTGACCGTACCTATAGTATCTGGAAATGGAATCCACAGGTTCAGGGCTCTGTCCCACGAGACTGCCCCCTCCGCACGTTGGACTGACCACCCGCTTTGGGTGGGATGATTTGCCAGAGTGGCTCACAGAACTCAGGGAAACTTATGTTTACCAGTTTATAACAAATATTAGAAAGGATACAAATAAGTGAACAGCCAGATGAAGATACACACTGGGTGAGGTCTGGAAGGGTCCTGGGCAAATGAGGGAGCTTCTGTCCCCATGGAGTGGGGTGTGCCATCCTCTAGGCACATGGACAAATTCTCGTTCCCCTCCCTCCCTCCACATGTTCAGCTCTCCAGAAGCTCCCCAAAGCCTACCTTCCTGGGCCTTTTATGGAGACATCATTGGATAGGCATGGCTGAAGCATGGCAACCATGTTGAGATGAAACTGGACAAAAAGCATAAGGTCTAAACCCAGCAAGTCCTGTCGGTCTAGATGCTTCCTGATCTCTCTGTGCAGCGTTCCTCCTTCCCGGGTAGGGGGCAGGACCCTCTCTGGAATGAGGGTCTTATGAGCTACAGTCAGATTAGAGTCTGGCATTGAGCAAGTGAAATGAGGGCATAAGGTCACAGACAGAGATTCCATTTTTGAGGCCTGCAGTGCCCCAACAAAGGGCTATGGAAGTGATGAACCAGAACTGTGGACAAAAACATCTACACACACACACACACACACACACACATAAAATATCACGGTGCCCTGGGCAGCAGCTGGAGCGTGTGGGTCATACTTCTTGCAGATGAAATAGAAACAGCAGGACTGTAGATATTGCCCAAGGTCTCCTAGCCAGTCAAGGCCGACCACGATCCACAGGCCACGGCATAGTTCTGGGCCTGACATGGAAGGTGGGGAGCATCCAGATCAGAGACCATTCCCACTGAGTGGTGGGCAAGGACAGAATGACAGAAGAGGTGATTAGTAACCACATATGGCTATTTATTTGATACAGGGCTCTGTACAAAATATTTACACATATTCTTTACAGAATAAGTAAACCACCTGAAGGTAATTAGATAATGCTTTCTTCTCAATGACAGGGAGAATCCTGGTGTCAGCAAAGTTACAAAACAGATAAACATGATCCTTCCGAGGCCACAACTCAAGCAAATGCCACTTGCTTCCTAGGATCTGAAAAGCTGTGGCCTTGGGACCCTGGTCACATGAACCTCTTTTCCTCAACCCCATCAATTCCTTCATTATTTACAAACAGGTTTGAGTGCTTGTGGAAGGAGGGGCAGCTGCTGCCGCCCACTGAAATGATGACAAGAGGGCCAGCTTGCTGTGGGAGAGCACTGGGAATATATGCCGCATCATCACCTCTGGAAGAATTTCCTTTGCCCTGATAAATACACCACTTTCTAAATTAATCCATCTACATTAGGCTTACCCCAAGGTGGGGCTCCTGCCATGGACAATGATCCATCACTTTGAGCTTTTTTTGGTTTTAAAGTGCGTAGTGGCTGGGCGTGGTGGCTCACGCCTGTAATCCCAGCACTTTGGGAGAACGAGACGGGCATATCACTTGAGGTCAGGAGTTCGAGACCAGCCTGGCCAATGTGGTGAAACCCCATCTCTACTAAAAATACAAAAATTAGCCAGGCATGGTAGCAGATGCCTGTAGTCCCAGCTACTCAGGAAGCTGAGGCAGGGAGAACTGCTTGAACCTGGGAGACGGAGGGTGCAGTGAGCCGAGATTGCACCACTGCACTCCAGCCTGGGCAACAGAGACTCCATCTCAGAAAAAAGAAAATAATAATAAAATAAATAAAAATAAAGTGCTTAGTGTAACTCAGTGGACACGGCTCCCAGCTGCTCTGGCTCGCCAGCTGCCTGGCATGTGGGACACCCTCCACCCTGCACACAACAGGCATGCAAGGAGGGCATGGAGGTCTGGATATGGTGGGGTGGAGTGCTTCTGGTGTGTTCACTTTAAGAAAACACCTGCCAAGAGAGATCAGTGCCCAGGAAAGACCAGGAAAATACAAGTACATGGCTGCTTCATACCATATACCCCAATTCTTTAAAGCAGCAAAAGGCACTTTTTTTTTTTCAGGCCAGAGTTAATCTAAAACAAACCTGGCTTTGCTTAGAGGGAAGCTGTCCCGGAAGGACTGAGTGATGCCTCTTGTTCCCTAAGGCCTGGAGAGTCTTTGGAGAAGCTTGGGCAGGGAAGTTGGCTGTTCCAGGCTCCTGCCAAGCTCTTCAGGCTCCATTTGTTCCTTTCTGGGTGCCAGCAAGTTTCCAATGACATTTCCAACCAGGTGGGAGAGACCAGTTGACGAGACAAATCAGACCCAAAAAACGACGCTAAGGTAGTGAATGGGCGCCTATGTGGGAGTAGTATGATTTGAGGAAAACAGGAAGAAAAACTGGTCAGAAAGTGGCACTTTGGAAGTGGAAAGCTGTTTGCAAATAGCAACTCTGTCTAAAGTGAAATGTTAATCAAGTAGAAAGTAAAATTCAGGATCTTAGAAGCTCATCCTTCTGATGAGAACTATTTTTTTTTTCTGTGAAGGAACTATTATTACTTTAAAAGTGAGGGTAATTTACATATGGGGTGTATATATTCTAAAAATAGTAACAAAAGTACTTTTTATAAGCAATGTTTTGTGGCTTGTAGAAGAAAACAGGGAGGAAAAAAAAAAAGGCAGGCAAAACTAGTCTAGGTCTAGGCCCTAAAAATGAGCATTCCTTCCCACTTGACTGGAAATGCCCATGCAATCTCTAGGCGGAAAATAGGTAGGATTTAACAAGTAACCTAGTTCCCTTCTGTCTCTGATTTCTGACCAGCTGATGGAGCTGCTAGTAAGAGGGGCCGATCATGCTCCCAGACGAGTCCTTTGGCCTCTTGTTCTCAATCCCAAGCCTGACTCCTTCAGCAGCAGCCCCTCCTCCTGTGTTCATCGGATGCGGGCAGACCAGGAGCAGTGAAGAGGGCATCCCGTGCTCCAGCTCACTTTCTACGGGGTAACTAGGAGGTTCCCGGTAACTAGGGCAGCCCAGGCCCAGCAGGTTGCAAAGGCAGCTGGAAGCTTCAGAAACCCACTTCCTCCAACACCACGGGAGGTGGCAGAGAGCCCATCCAAAAGCCCACTGGGAGGGGCATAAGATTCTGTGCCAGGCCCCCAAGTGCCCTCTGTGTCAGGTAGGCTCTCCTATTGGCCTCTGAAGTAAAGGCAAACACGAACAGGCAGGGCAGGGTGGCAGGAATAGAAAACTCTAGACAGAAACCCTTTTAATAAAGGAAATTCCACCCCTCCCAATCCTTCCATGGAAGGGTGAGACCTTAATGTGATGTAAGAGGAAGGTCTTCTCTGGCTTTCAGGGAAACAGCTGCAGCTGAAACTTAGGGGCCCACTCCAGGGCACTTTTCACCACAGCCAGTGCGGCCGCTCCAAGTGCCACCGTCAGCCCCATCACTGCCAATTTCACAAAGCGGTTGGTCCTTGGTTTGGTCAGGACATCTTTTGTTCGATCTTCAGGCCGCAGAAGTCCCCGAAACCGCTGCCGCAGCACCATATCAGGCCTCTGCTGGGCTGATGCCAGCTCAAAGTCTTTGAAGGTAGAGGCTGCCGTCCTGCAGGGGAAAGAGACGGAAGGAAGTGGTATGAAAGAAGAGGAGAAAAGAAAAACTACACCACATAGGCGGCGGGCAGAGCCTTTCATTGCTGGGAAAGCTCTTCTTGATAAAGACCCATATGTCTACAGTGGGGATTCCACTGGCCTAAGCTCAATCTCTGGAAACATGCCCCAATCCTGTCCCACCAGACACAAACCTTCCCTCACTTAGCTGCTCATTTACAGCCACCCCCACTCAACCAGCATCCCAGCCTTGCTCACCTCTCGGCTTGCTGTTGGGCGGCGGCCTCCCGAGCAAGTTCAGATGGGGGAAACTGAACAAAAAGGTCCCCTGCTCTGCTGATCAGTGTCTCATAGGGCAAGTCCTGAGGGATCTGGGACAACAGGTGGTGAACCGAGGCCATGTCACAGTCACAGTCCAGGACTTCCTGCTCGCGATACAACACAATCTGTGGGGAGGTAGTAAAGCCTTGTGGTCAGAGGCCAGACACACAGGCCTGGGCCACCTGCATTCCATTATCCTTGGAGATGAATTTAAACTGGTTACAGACAGGACTCAGCCCAAATGTTCAGCAAACTCTTGTATCCATCAAGGAAGTAATAACATATATACTCTCAGCGCTACTCCTACTGTCTGGCCCTTCCTGCGAACTCCCACCACGTGACATGAAAGGCTGACCAGTTACAATCTGAGTCCTTCAGGCACACTGGGCTGCTCAGGTGTCCCTTTAAATCTTGAAAGAAATGAAGGAGATTCTTTTAGAAGAAAGGAGAAGAATACTGGGAGATTCCTGGAGCTCCAGCATAGAAGACATGGTTCAAAACAGTAGAAAGAACAGTCTTGCTCCCTTTAAGCATCTTCCTTCCGACTTTTGGTCCACAAACCCATGGATGCTCAAGGGACCAGTAGCCACTTAAGACTTCCCTGAACTCCCATCTCCACCCCCTCAGGCCCTTCTCCCTGAACTCCCATCTCCACGCCATCCCTCAGGCCCTTCTCCCTGAACTCCCATCTCCACGCCATCCCTCAGGCCCTTCTCCTGAGAACTCCCATCTCCACGCCATCCCTCAGGCCCTTCTCCCTGAACTCCCATCTCCACGCCATCCCTCAGGCCCTTCTACTAACTGGAGCCCCCACCCTCCACCAAAAGCCACTCCCTTGTCTATCATGACACCAGATCTCTTCTTAAATCTGGAGTTGGCAGCTTGTACTACTACTTCCCTAATTGTGTTCATCAGCTGAATATATGTTCCAGGCAACGTCAATAGGAACCCTGACAATTCACAATGCAGATTAGTGTTTTAAAGGTTCAGAAGAGCCATGCAGCCAAAAAATCTGATTTTGTTCACCCAGTATTTCACAACTTACTATTTTTTTTGTGACACCCCCATTAACATTGCATAGAATGGTGTCCAGGCACACCAGCCTCAAAAGTGCTGTCTTTTGCATCTTTCCATAATCCCCAGGTTTCCCTTCAGGGAAAATGACCACAGTGGGATGGGTGATGGTGAATCTAGTTGCTGGCTCGTGGCCTGTACCTACCACGGCTGCAAAGTAAATGGGCATCAGTGGGTGGCAGGCCAGGAAGAAGTCATATAACCGCACGACGTGCCTGAAGTCAGACAGGACATGCCCAAACCAGGTGATGAGCCAGCTGAGGGCAAAGATGGTCCCCACCTCAGCACTAAAAACAAAGGAAAGCCAGGTGTCAGATCCTGTGGGCCATCCCTTCCCTCTCTCTGGGCCTTCTTTGTCCTCAGTGCTGGTGAGAAGGAAGCATTAAGGAATAGAATTTCTGGAAAATTCAGCTACCAAGGAATTCAGCATCTTCTCCTCAGAAAATACTTAATACAAAGTCTTCAAGGTGTACCATGACACTAACACCACAACAGGGTCCTGGCTGCTTTATCTCACTGGGTGCTCTCCTAATGGCCAACAAATGTCAACTACAGGAATGAGAAGCAGTTGTTTTCAGAGAACTACACCATGATTCTCCTTCTGAGTAAGTCTTACCCTTGTGGGGGGCACAGGTACATATTCCCAGGCCTGAAAACATGACCGCATTAATTTTTCAATTAACATGAGACAAATGAAATATCTTAAGATGTAGCTGCCAGGCGCGGTGACTCACGCCTATAATCTCAGCATTTTGGGAGGCCGAAGTGGGTGGATCACCTGAGATCGGGAGTTCGAGATCAGCCTGACCAACATGGAGAAACCCCATCTCTACTAAAAAAACAAAATTAGCCTGGTGTGGTGGCACATGCCTGTAATCCCAGCTACTTGGGAGACTGGGGCAGGAGAATCGCTTGAACCTGGAAGGTAGAGGCTGCGGTGAACTGAGATCACGCCATTATACTCCAGCCTGGGCAACGAGCAAATACTCCGTCTCAAAGAAAAAAAGGCATAGCCATTACCTTTTAAAATTTTTTTTTAAAAAGAGGCATTGGCCAAGAACACATTTCCAATTAAACTGAGAAGAAACAAAACATCACATGGGATTTGCAAAAAAATAGTTCTTCTCTTTGGTACTTAGGAAATAAAACAACCCATTGTCAGCCTTCTCCTCCTCGCCGCTGGATCCCACAGGACTTCGTATTTCTCTTGTGGCAATCATCTCAACATCTACCTTGGCATACATACCTTATCCACCTCTCCCCACTAGATATAAACTCAAGGGATGGGATATGTCCCCCAAAGAGCACAGTCCCCAAAAAGTGCTCCAAGAACGGAATTATCCAGATTGCTGGTGACTGGAACAACTTGGGAGAACTTAACAAATCCCCCCAAGACAATGAGGAGACTGCGCTCGGCTTGTGAGGAGGGGTGTGGGTGTGTGTATGCATGCACACACAAATGTGGACACACATGTACCTCTGCATGAAGTCATGGAGCTCTGGATTCACCTGGTCAATGATGGGCATCAGATAGTTTAATATATGCTTGGTGTTGTCCATTGTTGGATCCATAAAATCCCTGGAGGGAGACAATTCAATAAGCCTGGTCACCAAACACTTAGATCAGGGCTGGGGGTGGCAAGGGCTCAAACTCCTAAAAAAAGTTGACCAGAAAATGGGCCAATGAGTTATCCCCAGGATGGCTGAGGAGTGATGCCTGTCCTCTCACGTCCTTCTGTACTGGTACCTGAGGTGGTGGGTAGATAATTTTTCTACCAGGGATGTTGCCAGCCTCTCGCCTACCACCAGCAGAAATGTGACCACAATGTCATGGTAGCCCTGGTAGTAGTGCAGCTGAGGGTTGCGCTCCAAGATGAGGAGGATGATGTCAATCAGTTCTTCCTGGAGCCCTTCTCTCTGTTCTTCTGGCATGCCTGGGGACAGGAACAGAGAGGAGATGCCTTTGAACATACCAAGCAGCCTAGTTAATAAGGAGGTCGAAGAAGGCCAGCAATGAATTTTCAGAGAAAAAAGGAAAATGAATTACAAATAATTTGGCAACGCATATCAGGATCCACTGTTGATACCACCTGGCATACAGGAAAAGGCAGCCGCTAGCTCTCCAGTGGGGGAAGCCGCAGACACCACCTTAACCAAGTCGCTGCAGTTAATACTGCTGGGACACAGTATTTAACTGCAGTATTTCAACCATGGGAGCCGCAGAAGCCTCTGCCTCCCGATGCGATGCACTGACAGAGCTCAGCATCACGTCTGCAGGATTCCTATCAACAGCGCACAGACCTACATCTCGCGATGAAGAAATACCCAATACACCCAAAGTAAGAGAAATTTCACAAAAATAACTGGCCTCTCATACAGTACAAAGGAACTGTTCCAGATTAAAAATGGCTAAAGAGATATGATGACAGCATGAGAAACGCATAAATCTGTATTTCCTTCTCCAGTGAAGCACATGACTCGAAGAAATGGTGAAATGTGAGTAAAATCTGTGGATTAATTAGTTAACTATTTTTCAGTGTTGTTACTGATGTTGCTCAGTGTACTGTGATTATGTGAGAGCCTTATATTTAGGAAATATATCCTGAAACATTTAGGGGTAAAAAGATGTCATGTTTGCAACTTAAATAGTTCAGAGAAAAAGTGTATGTCTATGTGTAAAGTGAAGGAAAGAGAGAAAGCAGCTAAAAAAGCAAATGTAGTAAAATGTGAAAACAAAACGAAATCTGGGTAAAAGGTATCTGGGGAATTCTTTGTCCTATTTTTACAACTTTTCAGTAAGCATGAAATTATATAAAAATAAAAAAATGTTAAAGTTGCATGTTTCCCTTTAAACCAAAGCAAACGTTACGGGAAAAACCGATCCTCTTGATCCAAAGATGTATTATAGCTGGAAACAGGGAAGCCTGTCTTGGGAGTTCTTTCAGAGTCCGGAGCTAGTCCTGCCAGCAGTAAAAATGCCAAGCCTTGGCCTCATGAGCCACGTTAGAAGAACGGCACATGCACAGCTTCCCTACACCATTAGCTTTTAGTTACAAACACATACTCAGAGAGAGAAAGCAGCTAATGTAAGGGCCCAAACTAAACTGGACAAAGGATTGCAGGTAAGAGCAAAGCTCACCTCTTGCCCATATTTACCCCATCCCTTCTCAAATAGAAAGCATACCCTAAAAGATAAATAAGGAAATGAAGCAAACCCAGGGCTGCTGATAGGTGAAGCAGTGAAAGGAGAGTAAAAATTAAACCCTGTGTGAATTTTCAGCAAAAGAGCAGTGAGTCAAGCCCAGAAGACCATGAATGGAAAAAGAATATGAAGCCACATGGTAAGTTCAGCCTACAGAAAGAATATCACAGATATTACATCAATGGAAGAGGAATAAAGGGTTCAGAGGGAAAACAGGCTACCCAGGAAAAAATGGGGGCCAGGCACGGTGGCTCTCGCCTGTAATCCCAGCACTTTGGGAGGCCGAGGTACGTGGATCACCTAAGGTCAGGAGTTCGAGACCAGACTGGCCAACATGGTGAAACCCCCTCTTCATTAAAAACACACACACACAAAATTAGCCGGGCGCGGTGGCAGGCACCTGTTATCCCAGCTACTTGGGAGGCTGACGCAGGAGAACTGCTTGAACCCGGGAGGCGGAGGTCATAGTGAGCTGAGACAGTGCCATTGCACTCCAGCCTGGCCAACAAGAGTGAAACTCTGTCTTTTAAAAAAAAAAAAAAAAGGGAGGCATCTGTCCTATGTGATCTCATCCAAACCAGCAGGCTAGGAAAAGGACATGGACCGTGGGCATGTGCTTTTATCAAAACCACGCTGGCAGACTACTGCTACCTGGGGATTGCAAAAGTCTCTCCAGGAAGCAGGAATGCCAGCAGGAAAGCAGCCCCTTCGACAACAAAAGCCAGGCCAGAGCACAGTCCAGAAGAGGGAGGCAGTGAGCTCAGAGGCTCCTGTTCCCTTTAGCAATTCTCCTTTCTTCACAACCTAAAGGTGGAGTTGCCAGAGGAAGAAAAATAGGTCATCCATGCGACATTTGTTGCCCAGTTCCCTTCACTGTGAAAACTGAGACAACGGTCCTTCTTTTCTTTCTTCCAGAAATGAAGAGGTAATTTTAGGAATATATTCTCTTTTTTTTGTTTTCTTTGTATTTTTTTTTTTTAATCTATCGCTGCTGAACAAATTAAGGAATATACTCTTACACAAACAGGGACTGGCCTCTCTTCCCTCTAAGGAATCTTACATATGTATGCGCAAGATATCATTATTTTTAAACCTAATTAAGATATTAATCATTCTTGTTGGTGCCCAATTCCACACCAATCTGCTCTTAAACACCAGACTGATGGCTCTAACAATTCTTATTAACTCCTTTTTGTGGCTTCAAGGAAAAACAAACCCTCTTCTCTCATTCACCACCTCTAGGCCAGGAGAAATTATTTTTGGTTCAGGCTTTCACAGTGGGGGTCTGAAAGTGACCAGGCAACAAAAGGATGACTCAGCAAAAGGAGAGTTCTGAAGGTCCCTGAGGAGGCAGGGTCCAGCATACTAGGTCACATGGTATGACCTGGGACAGATACAGTCTTTCCAAATGTGGCAGGACTGCGAGAGCTTCTCACCAGGAGGGAACCGCCGCAACGACCGCCGGACGTCCAGCAACACTTGTTGGTAGTCTTTGCTCATCTGCCGTAGGTTCTTCCCTATTGAGGGAAAAGGAACGTTACTGCAGGAATGTCCAAGAAGCCAGACCAGAAGCAAAACATTCTAGGATGACGCAAAAGGCCTAGAGGACACATGTCAGCTTTCTCCCAAAGAGTAGGATATGACTCAAGATACAACATTTGGCAGGGAATCCCTAGTTTAGTTCCAAACATTACGTTTCCTGCAAGTCACAATGACCCTAAGAGAAGGGAGCACAGACTTCCCAAGAGGTAATACAATGGGGTGAGAAGGAGAACAAAGATGTAAGGAGAACAGGCGCCTCGTGCAGAAGGCCACTGCACATCACTGGGAACTGCTCTGAATTTCAAAGTCCACAGCTACAAAATGAGGATATTCCCTTCCAAGGATCAAATAAAATCAGGAATGTGGGAACAATACACCACTGAAAAAACCCTAACACCTATAAAGTTGTGGGAGCACTAAGCTGTTTAGAAAGGTATACTGATACTCACACAAAGAACCACCTAACATCTCTTGACCCAGCAATTCTAAAACTAAGACGCTGCGAAGACGAGACAGTCCTTGTGTTCAGCTGGTACGTCCAATACAGTGTGAAAGTAAGGAGGCAGTCTCTAGCTGTTATATATATAACAAGTGTACATTTTCCCCAAACAAACCAAGTGCTGTATAATAAGCGTACATTTCCCTTGCAACCCAAATCAAAAGCTAGTAAGGCTGGGCAACACTTCCTCACATGCAGGCTTCATGGTATAAAAAGATGAGGGAAGTTTGGAACCTGGTAGAACATCATCTCAGGATTCAGGTGTGAATATGGCACTGCCTTAGCCTTCCAACAAAAAGCTGACTTCCCTGAAGCAGCCAATTCCAAGGATAGTAACAAGTGGCAACTCGACACCTACTGGGTGACATCATGACACTGTGAACTTTTTGGTGGCAGAAGTCCTGTTTCAATCATCTCCAGTACCTGGCACACAATCATAGCACAACTAATATTTGCCAACTGAATGAAAGAATCCTCAGCAGTTGGCATTTTGCCATGATGGCAGGAAAGCTACAAGGTGAGCTCACTGAGTGAATGGCCAGCAGGGTGGCTTCACTGTTCTGCAGGACTTTTCTTTACTATTTTGAACTGCATTCCAAGGAACTCTTTTTACTACACAGGCCTTGCATATTAGTTAGGTAACTCTTTTCACAGAATTACAGGATTTTACAACTCCAAAGGATCTCAGTATTTCCAAATAAAAACAGGGTGTTTTCTTTTTTTTGAGAGTGTCTCACTCTGTCGCCCAGGCTGGAGTACACTGGCACAATCTCGGCTCATTGCAACTTCCACCTCCCGGGTTCAAGCGATTCTCCTGCCTCAGCTTCCCTAGTAGCTGGAATTACAGGCGTGCGCCATCACACCCAGCTAAGTTTGTATTTTTACTAGAGATGGGGTTTCACCATGTTGGCCAGGCTGGTCTCGAACTCCTAACCTCAAGTAATTCACTTGCCTCAGCCTCCCAAAATGCTATAATTACAGGCGTGAGCCACTGTGTCTGGACAAAAGAGGGTGTTTTTGTGTGTGTTTAATTTTACTTTACTTTTAGAGATGGAATCTTGCCATGTTGCCCAGGCTGGCCTCAAACTCCTGGGCTCAAATAATCCTGCCTCAGCCTCCCAAGCAACTAAGACTACAGCGGTGCACCACCACGTCTGGCTAACTTTTAACTTTTTGTAGACAGGGTTTTGCAATGTTGCCCATACTGGCTTCAAATTTCCAGTCTCAAGTGATCCTCCTGCCTCAGCTTCCAACAGTGCTGGAATTACAGGTGTGAGCCACTTTGCCCAGCCACAAAATATGCTTTTTTTTTTTTTTTTTTTTTGAGACAGAGTCTTGCTCTGTCACCCAGGCTGGAGGGCAGTGGTGCAATCTTAGCTTGCTGCAACCTCCACCTCCTGGGTTCAAGCAATTCTCTGCCTCAGCCTCCCGAGTAGCTGGGATTACAGGCACCCACCACCATACCTGGCTAATTTTTGTTTTTTTTTTTTTTTTTTTAGTAGAGACGGGGTTTCACCCTCTTGACCAGGCTGGTCTTGAACTTCTGACCTCAAGATCCACCCACCTCGGCCTCCCAAAGTGCTGGGATTACAGGCGTGAGCCACAGCGCCCAGCCCAAAATATGCATTTTTAAAAGATACTTGCCAAGCAAGTATGTAGAACAAAGCATATACATTTTTAATAAACTCACTTGCCTAGGCAATATTTTAATCCCTAATAAAAAAAGAACTTGGCTGGGCGTGGTAGCTCACTCCTGTAATCCCCGCACTTTGGGAGGCCGAGGCAGGCGAATCACTTGAGGTCAGGAATTCGAGCCTGATCAACATGGCAAAACCCCGTCTCTACTAAAAATACAAAAATTAGCCAGGGGTGGTAGTGCACATCTATAATCCCAGCTACTAGGAAGGCTGAGGCAGGAGAATTGCTTGAACCCAGGGGGCAGAGGTTGCAGTGAGCTGAGATTGTGCCATTGCACTCCAGCCTGGGCAACAGAGCGAGATTCCGTCTTAAAAATAAATAAATAAGTAAAATAAAAGCAAAAAAAGAACTCATCCCACTTTTGAATTAAATTCTACTTATTGGTTTGGCCTTATTTTCAGAGTGGGCCCAAGCATTTCCCAAAACACTCTAGATTTATTCATATACCCTTGGTTTGAAAGGACCATAAAAATTAAAGATCCTGGACTTCTTTTCTCCCTGTCTCCTAGATACACTCCCCTCACAGCCTCCCCGACTCCCCTTACCTGATATAGGAGGTGGGTCATTGGCATTGACATTGAGGAGCTTGGGCCACACTTTTCGTCTGATCTCATCAGTCAGGAGCCCTCCTTCACTGATAGCCATGCGTCTAAGGGCAGCCACATCAGTGGGATCACTGTTCAGAGCCTGGTGTATCTCTGCCACTTTCTTTTTCCTTTTGGCGTTAAAGTCTGAAAATAACGATAGGGAAGAATTAGGCGTATATTCAGCACGTGCATGTTTTCTGCCTAGGACTCAATCTCCTTTTTGATGTGAGGTACAGGTAGTATCTCCTCTGAGCTCTAAGACTGCCTGCTGGCATAAAGGCTCATAGCCACATGCACTGTCATTTCAGGCCTAGTCTACTGGCCCTCATGGGGGAGGCTTGGAGAGCCCATTATAAAACAGATTTTAAATCGCCAATTTTTAAAAAGAAAGTCTCTTTTTATAGGTCTGAACCAAAAATCATAGGCACAGACTGGAAATAATTATTAGTTGTTGTTTTTAAGAGACAGTGTCGGCTGGGTGTGGTGGCTCATGGCGCTCATGCCTGTATCCCAGACTTTGGGAGCCGAGGCAGGCGGATCACAAGGTCAGGAGTTTGAACGACCAGCCTGGTCAATATGGGAACCCCCGTGCTCTACTTAAAAATACAAAAATTAGCTGGGCATTGGTGTTGCTCACCGTGTAGCCCAGGTTACGTCAGGAGGCTAAGGGCAGAAGAATAAACGTTAACCCACAGGAGGCGGAGGTTGGCATGCTGT